TCAATAGCCTCAACTTTACAATCTTTCTTTACCTTTTAAATAAATTTCTTGGCTTTTTTATTTTTACAAAATACATTTAAATGGTAAACTTTTTAGGAAATTGATGGAATATAAGAGAATGAAATATGGATGAATAAAATAAATAAAAAAAGTGGAAAAAATGTATCCATTCATTCCTCATCAAAATGTAGATGGACATCTATATAATTATATATGAAGTGCGAAATCCTACGTGGCGCCTTCAGAATGAATTTGAGGGTGGTTGATTACAGGGGTACCCTTAATAATAAAATCTAATTAATTATCTACCCTTGCCATCGATTATTTTTTAACCAAAATATGCCTATTTCGATTTATATATGTGGGTTTAGGTCTCATATTTTATTTTGCCCATAATTAGTAAGCCCATAATTAATTTTCGGTTATGTTATGAAAACCCTAAGTGCAACTTTATTATTTCTTCTTCTATATAATATTTGTCTCTTGGTAACCAGACATGATCTTTTGATTTGATGCAGCACTGATAACCAGAGTGTTGATCGAGCATATCGAATTGGGCAAACCAAAGATGTCATAGTGTATAGGTTAATGACCTCAGCAACCGTTGAAGAAAAGATTTACAGAGAGCATGTCTGTGAGATTTTCTGGTTCCTCCGTTAGCATAATAGTTGAGTGATTTGATATCTGATATAATGCCATTGGCATATATTGTTGTAAGTGTACAGGAGAGAGCCCAAATGATGTTAACCGAAATCTCTATTTTAGTTATATTGGTCATGTGTTGAATGTATGTAAAGTAGTTTGAAATCTCTATTTTAGTTATATTGGTCATCTCTATTTTTTTGTAAGAAGAACATACAAAGTAGCCATGTGCACTAAAAAAACTTTCAGTAAAACCGAAATCTCTATTTTCAAGGTTTATAATTCCTCATCATCGTCTAAATATTTGTTTTGTTTTTAAAATGTTTGTATCTCAAATTTTGTTCTAATAATTTATTATAATTTCTTTTGAATTTTGTTTTATGCTTATAACAAGCAGAACGTAATTATTGCGTATTTTGATATGTTCTTTTACCTTTGGTTGTTTTCTTTGTTGTTGGATGTGAAATTAGTTTGATTGGCTTTCTTTGTATGTAGATGAACTTATCAAATGGTCAGTCAGTGCATTATTAATTAGTTTCCTATTCCTCTGGTAGTCTTCCTATTTTATTTGATCTATTTTTTTGTTCATGGTTTGTATTTTGTCCTTTTACCTTAGGATGAAGGACAAAATACTATTGACTTAGGATGGCTAATCCTTTGGTTTGTGATTGGTATCATATTAACGATGCTTTACAAGGGATGCGGGAGACTATATGAACAGTTAGCCATGGGAGCCTTCCACGCTGTAAAAAACGGGACACTTCCTTCTTGCTATTCTATGAAGAATCTCCAGCCC